TTTTAATATGGTTGACAAGTTCATGGTTTGTAAATTTGTTGAATTCTCTTATCATGCTCCTTTGCATATTGAAATATTCTGTAATGTTCTCGCTGAGGAAGTTGATGATGAACTTTATTATAGACCTGTGTTTAAATGGAACGTGGAGTATCGGCACGATTTTACGAAATCTATTAGACTTAATTTAGAGTCAAAATAGTCAGTTACAATCCGCGATGATGTAAATCAAGATTCTAAAGATACATTTGTAAGTAATTTTACTGATGTTCTACTTGGTATTATGCGATCATTTTTTCAAAGAATACCGTCCAATAATACCACAAAAAGGCTCCTGTAAACCTTAATTCCTATACTTTTTCTAGTTAAAATGATAAACCCTGGTTTAATGATCGTTTCAAAGTTCTGCGTAAGCAATGCTTAGTGCAATGTTAACAAATTTCACTCGACGCATGCTGTTGTCATAAGTTAGAAAAAAGGAGTATTAGATAATGGAAAGTAAGCTAAAATGCAGTATCTTGGTGTCGGAAGTGATGTGTAGGAATATTTGAGAAAATATAATCCAAGGTCATTTTATAAAAAAAAAAGTTGAAAGAAGAAAGCGGCTCCGCTTTTGTAAAACTGCAGTCAACTGTATAGTCAATTTGAAAGTTTGTCTTTTGTTCACAAAGATATTGATTTAGTTTTTCATGACGTTTGTTTTAGTGACAGTTATACGATATTTGAACAATTAGATGCACACATTTCATTACAGGAAATTAGTAGCGCTATACAACAATTGAATTGTGGTAAATCACCTGAACCTGATGGCCTATCAAATGAATGTTTCAAAACTTGCGAAAATTGCTTCTTCCAACCCTTTCCACATTAGTTGGTAATATACTTGAATCTGGTTACTTTCCTTCTAATTGGTCATCAGCCATACTAAATTCCTGTGCATAAGAAAGGCGAGCGTAATGACCCTAATACTTTTAGAGGTATCAGCTTAATAAGCTGTCTTTGTAAACTTTTCACAGCTGTATCAAATAAACGCATTTTGGATGTTTGCATGAAGTATAACATTTTAACTGATGTACAATTTAACTTTCGCCCTGAAGTTAGTACGATTGATGCTAAAACTATGTCTTCAAAGAAGCGTTTATACTGTTGTTTCGTAGACTAAAGCGTTTAATTTTGTCGATAGAATAAACTTATGGCGCAAGCTGACAAAGCTTGGTGTTCGAGGGAAAATGCTATCTTTCATTAAGTCACTAGACAAATCAGTTAAATCTTGTGTCTCATTTAAAGGCAAATGTTCTAATTATTTCGAGAATAGTATAGGATTAATGCAAGGGGGGATATCACCTATATTGTTTTCACTTTTTCTTAATGATTCAGAAATTTCATTTATCAAAAATGATTAGGATTTTGGTGAATTAAGTTTATTTCTTTTAATGTATGCTGATGATCTAGTAATGTTTTCCGAAACCATTAAAGGTTTATAGAGTCTTCTAGATAGTCTTCATAATTATTCCACAGCATAGAAACTCACAGTTGATACAGAGAAAACAAAAAAGTGTTGTCTTTAGAAATGGTATACATGATAGAGAATCACAGACTTATAACGGTAAACAAGTGGAAGTTGATGACGTTTTTTCCTACCTGGGAGTGAAACTTAAATACAATGATAAATTCCATCAGATACAACAACAGTTATGTGACCAGGGACGTTTGCACTTTTATTAAATTGTTCAAACTCAAGTCTAAATTACAAAACCTTATTACATTTATTTGATACATATGTTTGCAGTATATTGCATTATGTGTGTGATGTTTGGGGTTCTTCAGGGGGTATTGATATAGAAAAGGTTCATCTATTGTTTTGTAAGATTTTAAAAGTTAAGAGGTCGACGCGTAATGCAATGTCGATACCCATTAGAATGCATAAGAAAGTCCAGAATGATAAAATACTGGTAAAAACCAATGTATTCGGAAAAAATGTATTTTGAACACTGTTTATTCCTTTTTAAGTAGTAGTAATAAAGGTAATTTTCTAAGCGGGTAAATCATGTTAAACATTGTCTTTTTGCTCTCGGATGTGTGGACAAATCACTATACGTATAATTATAAAAGTATTTTGTATTTGATAAAGCAAAGAGTTTTTGACCAAAGTCAGCAACATTTGGGAGGATTACTGGAGTCCTCATCTAAATATACTTTACATAAACACAGTACAAATAATTTTACTTTACAATATTATTTGACGAAGTGTGTTCCTATAAACAGAAATGTTTACAGATGGATTTTGTAATGCAAGAAGCTGTTGTTTACCACATGAAAATTGTGTGTGATGGTTTCGAATCGTTTAAACTCCTGTGTAAAATCTAAGGTCATTTAAGGACTGTGTGTAAAGCTTTATTATCATTTATTTAATTGTTACATCTCGTTGTTGTTTTGAATACTACGACGGAGTCAATAGCCAATGCACTGAAACTCACCGTAAAGTTAAACGGAATACAAGGTCGACTTTCAAAATCAATAAAGCATTTGAAAACATTCATCAATAATTCAATTTTCCACACAACAACAGTTTTTTGGGGAGAGATGAACCGTAGAAATCTTTATTATGTTCCTGGTTCACACAAATGTCCTCTTTTGTCTTCGGTCTGTTATAGATAACGATTCAAATATCTTATTTACCCCGAGCAAGGCATGTGACGTGTGTGCTTCACAAATTATTTTCAATGCCAGAAACTGAACATCCCAGTTACATAGCAATTTTAATAACTAATAACTTACACGTATTTCGTTGTCGTTTGTATTAAGCGGATGTATACGTTTGCTTTGCAGTGTGTATACTGACGTAAAGTTGTCCTTGAGAGTAACTTACATGCGGTGTTTACCATAGTGTACATACGATAAAGAGGGTATCAGTAGCACCGACTTATCTGAATAAAGTTTATAGTCTATATATACACACATGATGATAGATATGACGGGCCAATCAAAGGCCATATTATGTAAGAAAACATTTTTTTTTGTTCTGACAGCATTTGCAAAAATACTCGGAGTCTTCAACATTTAACATACACATGTGGTCTATATATCATCACCAATTGTGCAGTATCCAATATATATAACATCCTTTCTTGGGGTGATGTCGTGGTGTTGTGATGATTAGGCAGTCTGGCAGACTTGTGATACAAATGCCAAACGGAAAAGTGATTTTTTCAATTCTTTGAAATGTCGTTTTTATTCTTGTTTGCTCTGTGAGGAACCTCAGGGGCCCTTATCCCTGAGGTCCTATTTCTGGGACATAAAATTATAACTTTTAAACAAAAGATCCCACAGGGTTCTTGGTGTCCACCATTGTTTTATCTTTATATGCTCTTTGAAAGTTGGCTATTTTCCCTTCTTTTCTCTTGGCCACCTGGAAGCCATTCTGTTTTTTCTGATCAGTCCCAAAAGCAAACGAGCACAAGGTGGGATCAAAGGGAACATACGTATGAAATTTGAGAGATATCCATTCAGTACTTCTTCAGAAATAGCAATGACAATCTTTACTCAGCAAAATCCAAGATGACTGCCTGTCCGCCATTTTGTTGTTTCTAATCAAACCCAAAATCAAACTGGCACAACTAGGGACCAAGGGAAACCTACATATAAAATTTGAAATGGATCCATCTAGTTCTTCTTAAGAAATAGCAATAACAATCTTTCAATGTCAAAATCGAAGTTGGCCGCCTTTCAGTCATTTTATTTTCCTGGTCCTTTCCAAAATTACATGGGCACAACTAGAGACCAGTGGAAACCTTCGGATCAAATTGGATAAAAAAAAAAGCGATAATGTCTGATGATGGTGTCTAAAAAGGCAATCTGTAATTTCTTGGCAAGGTGATTTAGTGCCATAGATAGTGAGTTGGAGGCCAGGCCAAGGCATGAATCAAAAATTATTTTCCTCGTTAATTGGGTTACAATTGCCATATTTATATATATTTTTACGAGATACCATAGGTTACGTCCCCTTAGTGCTTGTTGAACGGTAAGCAAGAACAAGTATTTGCTTCTTTGTTGCTGGTCATGGATTTGTGATTTTGTCACATATCAGTATCTTATCACTTATCAGGTACGGTTTTACTGTACACTGAATGAAATCTTTTAAACCGTGTCCTGAAAACCAACTATGCCAGGAAAAATAAAAATATTGGGATTTGAAACTGTTTTTTTTCTCTCTACTTTTTGTAGTTGTTTCTAACGCTGGAAAATATGTATCTGTTTGTTGGTATTGAAAATGTGTTAAAATCACAACAATCAAATTAGTTTTTGTTACAAATAACTTCTGTGAACTGTGAATTTTTTTTAGAACGCAGAATGCGTAGTTGAGCTATTTATAACAGAAATATCACCCTATATTGAAGAAAGTAATATGTTATTCTGTTGACAAAGAAATTTTCAAAGTTCACCATTCAATATTTTTTTGTACAAAATGAGATTTCCTTTTTACTGTATGACACTAATGATGAAATCCTAGAAGATATATAGATATATTACTGATGTTTTATCAGCAACTCATTGTGGTACGTGCTGATCTGAAATTATTCAACGAATCAGACACATAGTAATGTAATGTTAACTAATGGAAGAGCAGTAAACCAACAATTACAAGTGAATGCTGTTGATGAAGCAGAAGAGGCTTACTCCTCTGTAACACCTGGCCTTCCTATCATTGTACGTTTTCAGGAGTCTCTGTGTAAATCTTTCTGTACTTCTTATTTTGCCCTAGCTTTATTGATGCTGAGGTTGGATTATGATTCTGTTGACATCTATTTTTACATAATGCTAAATGTAAAGGAGAGAACTAAAAGGGCATTTGAATAGCCAACCATTATATGTTTACAAGGGATGGACAGACAACAACATACCATAATACATCCTTTCAAAATTTTGACAAAGATATAAAAATTGAGTTGGACACCTGTACAGCATTTCCAACACCCTGATGAGCATTCCCAAACCCTGTTTAATTTAATTTGTAGTTATAACAATCACAACACATTGTTCCACACTCTTATGTTTTATCAACTTGCTTTTCAATTTTGGTTAACAAATATTCAATTTGATTTTTCATTACTGGTTGTCCTTTGTGTGTCCGTTTGGAAAACGTTTTATTCTTCTTTTGTTTTTTACTGTTATATTTTGCTAATGCTTCTTCCCTTTCTCTTTTTCTCCGCAATGCTTCCTGCAAACAAACAAAATCACTTAAAAAAAACAAACAAAGAATGTCTTCATCAAGGTAATGACAACAAAATATTTCAGTAATGAACAGGTTTCACATCTAGTGTAGTGAAGTTATAAGGGACTACATGATGCTTCAACAATCAAATGAAGTGGCTCTGATGCTCCAAAACACAGCAATACATGTATGCATATTATTTATTCAACTAAAATGCCTTTCAGGGAATTTACAGATAAACAAAATGACGCTATGTGTCATTGTCACTTGAAAGTTTTATATGTTTAAAGATGTGAGAACTTTGATCATCCAAATTGAAATGTAAATCCAAAAACTTAAAAAATCGGAAATATTTGATTTTTGATATTTTCACAATTTGTAAAAGACTCAAGCATTCTTTAATCTCGAGAAAATAATGAATAAATGATATTTCGATTATTCATTAAAAAATATCACAAATCTTCAACTTCTTAGACGATATGAATTTTATGTAAAAGTTTGATTACAAGCATGTAAGAGTTATCTCCTCTTCAAACAAGCCATGCACAGGTGGCTGCTGTTGATAGTTGTGTCTGTACATTTAAAGACTTACACAGTATTCCTGTGTTTTAAATATTACCAGATATATAAAATTAAGGAAATTCACTGGGACTAGTGCTTCTCCCATCTAAGTTTTTGTATCTAACACTGAAATTTCAAAAGGAAGGAGCCAACATCAGGTAAAAGTAAGTGGGTGTTAGGTGGGTACTTCGCTGTGAGTATGGATACCCTAAAGGTATGCAGGGCAATTAAACAAAGACTAAGAAGTATATACAACATACTCACACGCTACCGATTAAGAGGGTATCACAGAAGCTTTTTCAGGGCCCTTTTTTAAAAAACGTTTTTTGACGGCTTTACTTTGGGTTTCACAGATTCAGTTACAATATTAAGGAAAGTATCTAAATGATCATCTATTCCTGATAGCGGAGTCCATCCGAACGCTTTACGGAATGGTGTAGATGCATTTCTGAAAAAATGTTTTATGCAGACCCTGCGGTCCTGAAGAAGCCTCTGGTTAAGATTAAGTGAATCCAACATGAAAAGCACGAATCCAGACCTCAAGAAGTATAAAAATTATATAATTTTTTGAAAGTACCATCTAAACCTGAGGTGAATCATAAGGTAATCTCTGTTCAGATTTCTAAACCAATCTGGCACCTAAATACATGTAAATAACCTGGCCAGTAGATAAATTTCTTAAAACATTAATTTTTAACTTTTTCACAAGTGATACACTGTCTTTAGCCATCCTAATATTGATTTTGTTTAATATGCATACTCAAAGGCATAACCAAAGTATTACATTAAGTTAAATTAAATTTATAAATTCTTGGGAAGTAGACTTTTCAGATCTATTTTAATTTTCTACTTTTGTTACTTTTATCTGCCTAAACTAGATCCACACCTCTCATTTCAACCATATTGAATCTTATAGGCCAGTGGATACCTGCTCTTAAAGGCAGCTGTCCTGAATTACAAACGTTTCATTTTGCACTGGTTTAATTTTCTTATAAATACAATGCAATCTAGCTTGTCCAATGGTCAGGGTCATTCTAGATTATTATACATATGTGTATAGAACTGTCATCTGTTTGATTGTACCTGCTTACAATGAAAATTTGGGTTATTCTAGTACACAATTCTCCACTAGTATCCATAAAGAATATGTTGAAATAAATTTTTACAGTATATGTATCATGTAAACATACTTAACTTTGCATAGACAAATTTCAGTCAATTATTTCTCATTAGCCCAATGTTGAATTTGTACTTTAGTATTAACTGCTTTATATAAACTATACACAGAGGTGACAATTACTGCAACTGTATTCTAGCCCAATACTTTCAGCAACAAGAGGCCCAGAGGGCCTGTATCGCTCTCCTGGATCTTTATGACCAACAGTACTATATCTGTGCATATGTTCCACAGCAGATGCTTAAAACAATATGACAAATTACTCCATATGGGTTCTGTCCCTTAGTTACAGTCCCCCTCATCTGTGCAATGTTGAACTGAGATTTTCTTATGATGTTTCCAGTTAAATATAATTGATAGCTTTCTTTTAGATCAAGTAAAGAAAATGGTCAAACAATATACTCAGAAAAACTCTTAGTTATAGCTGGACGGATGACCCAGGACAGTAGCTTACTTGCCCTATAGATCATTGTTTACAAACACAGATACAACATATTTGAGACTTGAACAGGTCAACAATATATAGCAACAATTAAATATAAAGACAGGAAAAATTAAGGTACATGTAATTATAAACCATAATCCTAACTCAAAACAAATAATGAAATGTTTCATGCATATCATTCGTGATGTCATCATGGTCAGTTAAGCCTCGGTTACTGGAGATATACTGATAACAGTTTACTGTAGGCCTATAAACACTGCATAGCAAATGGGATCAGCTTAGAATTTCTTGTTTATTTATGCTATAATTATGAACAATCTTAAATCAAAATGAAGCTCTTGCAATTCTCTTTTCATGTTTTCTGTATTTAAATAATGTGAATAGAACATAAGTAATTGGCTAACATGTAGATTTTTTTTACATTACTTAGCTCAAGCCTCTCAGACCTCCAGGGGCTTGGACTAATCTATTTTTTGGAACAGTGTGACACCACTGTGAAAGGTCTTTATAATTTATTCTAAATTATGCCAAGAAAATTCCCATCCAAATACATTCCTTGGAAGGTTCTACATATTTGTATATAAGCCTTTGTGAAACTTTTACTGGCCAAATATGATAGCCTTCGGTCAATCAGAAGTTGTTAATGATTTTACCAAATTTAACCCCAGTGACCTTAAATATCTTTATGGGTCAAGCTATTTTTTCACACACTATGTTGGCACTATAAAGGGAACCTTTTGGCTAAATATTATAATTTTAGGCCTTTTGGTTAAGCAGAAGTTGTTCAAAGGTTTAATGCATTAGACTGTTGTAACCTTGAATATGGGTCAATGTCATTTCTTTTCTCAAATATTATCGGGCATCATTGAGAATCTAATATGGCATAATATCACTATCCTAGATATTTGATTAGTCAGAAAAAATTGTTTAAAGGTTTTGACACATTTGTCATCTGTGACCTTGAGAATATTGGTCAAGGTGATTTCTTTTTGCAAACTTTGTTGGGCTTGATAAAAGGAACATACTGTCCGAATATAATGATTCTAGGCTTTTTGGTATTTCAGAAGATGTTGTTTAAAGGTTTAAACATATTTGACCCCTTTGACCTTGAAGATTGGTCAAGGTCATTTATTTTAGCAAACTTTGAAGGACACCATAAGAGGAACACAGTAGCCTAATATAATGATTCTAGGCCTTCCGGTATTTGGGAGAAGTCATTTAACACATTTGACCTCTGTGACCTTGAATATGGGTCCAGGTCATTTCTTTTTGCAAACTTTGTTAGGCTTCATCAAAGGAACCTTCCAATCAAATATAATAATTCTAAGCCTTCCAGTATTTTGGAAGAAGTTGTTTAAAGGTTTTACCATGTTTGTCCTCTGTAACCTGCAATATGGGACAAGGTCATTTCTATTTGCAAACTTTGTTGGGCTTCATCAAAGGAACTTTCCAGCCAAATATGATTCTAGGCCTTCCGGTATTTTGGAAGAAGTCGTTTTAAGGTTTTGACACATTTGACCTCTGTGACCTTGAATATGGGTTAAGGTCATTTCTGTTTCCAAGCTTTGTTGGGCTTCATCAAATGAACCTTCCAGCCAAATATAATGATTCTAGGCCTTTTGGTATTTCAGAAGAAGTCGTCTAAATGTTTTAACACATTTGACCTGTGTGACCTTGAATATGGGTCAAAGTCATATCTTTTTACAAACTTTGTTGGGCTTCATCAATAGAACCTTTCAGCCAAGTATGACAACTCTACGTCTTTCGGTATTTCAGAAGAAGTTGTTTAATTGAAAAGTTGATGGATGCAGGATGGAGGGACGACGGACGCTACGCTGTGGCATAAGCTCACTTGGCCCTTTGATTACTGTATATGGTTTGAGAGTAAATGCAATTTCTCACCGTTTTCTTTCTTGCTTTTTCCTCCTTCCTTTGTTGAGAATGCCACTCAGACTTGGAATATTTCGTAAATTTCTTCCCTCTTAATGAGCTGTAAATTTGAACAAAATCTTAAAGTCTATTTATACTTACTAAGTGGGGTATATTACATATTGTCGCAGACTTGGTACAGAATCTATTATAAGTCTGTAATATTGTAAACAAATTAGATTTTTTTCAATACTGATAATTATTTCATTGATATAATTTTTAATGCAGATTGCTATGTAAGGTTAACCTGAAGTGGCTTTTCAATCTACTTCCGGAGAATCTAACACTGTCAGTAAATTTCATTAATAGTGTTGCGCAAGCATGAAAGAAATACTGCATGAATGTTGCCCTGTGTAAAGCACATGTATGTTTTATCTATACAGGTATACTGATACACCCAAACAAATATTTCCGATGAATACTGAGGATGTGGATTGCATGTAAAAGGCATCCCTAGTTCTTACAATGTTCATACATGTAGTCTTCCAGGCAAAACCAATTAACTATCATTAAGCTTTATTATTTACAATTATAAGCAAAAAATGAATTGAGAAGGTTTACTCTTCTTCTGTGTATTTGTCGTTTGTCAACTGTTGCCCAGTTTCATATTCCTCTTTCTTTCTTTGTTTGCTCAGTATCTTTAAATATTCATGCTGGATTTTCCTTTTCCTGTTGTCTGCAAATCCTTGTCCTGAAGGAATCAAAGTATATGAAACACTAAATTAAGAACAGGTCATGAACTCTCAATACCTCCCTAATATTCCAATCCTATCAGAGGTTACAGTTTGATATATGCTGTAAAATCCTGTGTAGTACAAATTTATTCCAAAATATGTACTAGAGATGAACCATCTAAATCTTAGAGTTACTAGAGGCAATGATAAAGACGGAAAAAGACAAGTAATCATTACCCCTGGAGTATTGAGGATAATATGTTCTTAGTAACATTAATCTACGCAACCGGATGTAACCAAGTTTATATCAGAAGATGTATCAAATAGAGCAATAAGATGCTTAAAATGGCAAGTACTGTGAACTATTATATAAGAAGGGAGATAAATCTTGTGAACCCTTGAAATACATAAGTAATTTGATGTACAAGGTGCTGTCTTCAGTTTTCAACAGGTAACAAATATGTGTTAAAGTAGAGACAGAATATAATTATTGGCACTAGATTGAACTACACTTGTAGTTCAGGACATCTTGTCAAATCTCTATGAACTTAGACAGGTTGGGCACAACCCCCCATATAAGTAGTCCTGCATTTGAAGGAAACTTACAGCTTTTGAGTAATCAGTTAGTTACTCAAATGCAGGGACATTCTAATATTGGAAACACATAAAGTTCTTTTGGAAATTTGTCACAAAACCAAGCCTTGTGGTCCTCTATAGAATTGTCTATTGTCTTATTGCTGTTCTTACAATTGATATCCTCTTTCCTTTGGATAGTAGAACTCAAAAATCAAACAGCCAAAATTTCAGACATATATCTGCAACAAATGTTGCCTTCAAATGGTCCTTCTTTCCACGTACCATAGTCTAATGGAATACCCTTCCTGAGGCCTTTAAATAGATAGTGCTTCTGTAGATATCTTCAAACATCAGCTGACTCCAGCTGTTTTAAAACCTCTCCTACACTAAATTTTACCTTTTTTTTTCAGAGATTTATATTAAATCTAAACATGTTTATCAGAAAAAATATAAATATGTATTAACATGTTTTTCTCTCTGTATCCCACACACACTGTAGGTAATATTCTTTGCTTAGAAGTTCTGAAGACAGAAGAAGGGAAAAAAGGACTTCATCTTTTCAACGTGACCCAATTGCCAACATGTATGTAATGCATAGGAAATGTCCATTTCTGTTATCTAACTTTGTGTTGAAATACAAAAATATATCTGTGTGTATAGGCAGCATATAGTGAAAATGTTAAAGGTGTGCATGAATTTACATGTGTTCTATTTTTAGCCACACAGTTAACAGTTGAAAAACAATGGAGATGATAAAGTTTATGATTTTTACAAAAAGTGAGACAACTAAATTATCAAGTTTTTGTGTGAAAAGGTACAATGTTGCATTGGTTATTGGGCAATGTCAGAAATGTGACGCCACTTTTTGTTGCAAATGTTTAAAAGACCTTTGGTGTTCCTTTTTCAAATGACTGCATTTAAGTAAGTAAGTTAACTCAAAGTGGTAACTATCCCTCAGATGCAGGACTATTATCTACATGAAACTTGTTCAGATCTCGTATTTTTAAGTAGCTTTTGGTATTCCTCCTTGGGATTTATTTATATCGAATGTTTGACAATGTCCCTCCCGAAAGGGATTGATTTTCAACAGTTCCTAAATCAATTGTGTATATTGAGGATATAGGTCATACATATGATCATATCGCTGAAGTTTACCTTCGCTTTGGTTTCCGATAAATTTCTTGTATTTGTCTACTCCATGCCTTTTAACATGTGCCCTTTTGGACATTCTTCCTTTCGTGTGTTCATCCATTCTCTTTATCGGAATCAAAACATACAAAAGACTCGGATTTAAAAAGGTACTATAATTTTAAAGCCAACAACGCATACCTTTCCGGAAAACACGTACAACAAATAATACAGAGGAACATTGCATATATTTACATAAATATAACGAAAATGTAGATAACAGAGGGAAATCAATGCACACTTATTGTTGAAATATAAATAAGGTGATGTCTTCAGAAAAATTCAAACGAAAACAACATATGGTTTCATTCAACAAATGAAAATTGGATGTAGGTATATTTCATTGTTAGTATATATTTGTAATTCAGAAAAATCGACAGGAACTTCAAACGAAAACAACATATGCACTGTAAATCTATACGAATTCAACAAATGAAAATTGGATGTAGGTATATTTCATTGTTATTGGGTATATCATAATGTAATGTTTATTATTGTATACTGGTCTGAGAATTTCTTAGCAGTATTTTTGCATTTTTAGCATTTTTTCAGTAGGTAACCATGACAATCAAATGTCAGAAATCAGAGGATACACAAATTTCATCTCTCTCTGTTAATGTAATTGTTATACAGTTTATAAATATATAATTGTATTTTTCATAACCAATCTGCTATACCTGTATATCTCAAACATGACAAATAATTTCAGGAAAAATGCAAATTAACTGTTTACTGCTACCTAACTTGCATTGTGAACTCTTTTGTGTGAGAGAGACGAAAAAGTTGTAACCTTTGAAAATACACGTGGAAACATCAGAAGATTTTTTTTTATTTAACTAATACAACACAATAATAATGTGACAACCGGACCGTGGGTGTGGTCTTCCAGGAAAGTGGTAGCGTGTAGTACCCATGGCCAAGTTACAGCTGTTTATCAGTTCTCTTCCCTTTTATTTACGTGTGGTGAGACTAAAAATCTATAATATTCAGACATTTTCTCAGCAAGTGTTCCAAGCATTATTACTCAGACCTTAAATGAACGAGGCACTTTAATTTCAGAAGATATCTAAAGTAATTCATTTTCATTTTTTGTCACATGTTTTTTTTCTTTTACATATTGTAATAATTTCCACATAATTAATGTAGAATGATAAGTATTCTAATACATTTTAACCTTTCAAATGTATCCAGGCGTACAGATAGCCAGCAGCATATGGCAGACGCAGATTTGTCTAAACGGCTTAATGGTTATTGCGATGTTATTGGCATATGTTCTACTTCATTGTGCGAAACGTTTTGTTAGCATGCTAGTTGGTTTTGTTGTCGCTGACATGGCTCTCCGTTTGATAACTTTATATCATATTGTGAAATATTAACACTCCCGCGAACATGAAGCTGTATTGAGTTGTCATTCTTGACTACAGCGCTAAGAATGATGGGAGCACGCTCAAGCCGAATTCGACGCCCGAACAGAGATGCAGTTTAAAGTTATTTGTAAATGTTTTCTTGTTTATTGTGAAGTAAGTGTACTGTTTTTATATCAAGAAATTATTCAAAACTCATGTGCGCTCATATTTTAGCATGCAAAGCACTGGATTTGTCGTGACATGCTAAAACAATAGGTGAAGTGAAAGATGTTTTGGGAGATACAAGTGTTGACGGAAAAAAAATCACTGAGTACCTGACCACGACCTTTAGCTAGTGCTCACTGTAGTTAGATTTAAAGTTTGACTGATGGAAAGGCATAAGGTGGGTCCATCCAATCAGAAGTTGTACAGCGTGAAAATTTAAATCAATCAGATGTCTATATTCTCTATACAACCACAGGGACTTCTCTACAATAAATCATTAGTAAATAAAAAAACATTGATTTGAGAGGTGTGGGGTTGGAGGGTATTATATAACATAGCACAATACCCCTCACCCTCAAATTAATGTTTTTGATTTACTATTATTTTAGACAAGTCCATATGATAAAACTGTTGATAGTCTACTGACATGTACGTAGACTTATAATTAGTTACCTTTATAAGCATAACTTATAATTACATGATACAACACAATGTGAACCCCTAGCTCTAGTAGCTGTTCAGTATGTATTATGACTTTAGTTAATAATGATATTTTTATTAAATGGGAACACTATACATGTACTGGAGGCCCCTATACGAATATTGTATTAACTTGTATTGTAATATATTATTTTATTTTTGCAGTGAGCTATGCTGATGTCCAATTGGCTGAACTGTATCCTGTAACTACTACACAATGTTCAGAATGGGGAGTGAAAATACATTACATTGGTAATTAATTTTGTCTGTATTAAAAAAGTCAGTCATCTCACAAAGTCAGTCATCTGAACCCCAACATACCAATAGGTGTTTTTTTAACAAATGCCTATTGCATGCCAATATTTATTTAAATCATACAATTGGTTTGGTTTATAATATTGATTAACAAATCTAATGTTCTAAAAGCTAATGTTATTTAATAAGGATAGCCTGGTATGTCTCAGCAAGGGAACAGAATCCAAGGCCTTCCTCACATGGGCGAACACTAAGTGAGGCAGGTACGGTATATAAATATAATCGTACTGTGTCGTATAAGTTGCCCTTCTCACAACTTAGTATTTATCTGTGTTTACACTGCATATATATATATATATATGAACATATAAACATAATGTAGTGCATTTGGTCTAAATTCACCATTCATGTCTTGTTGCAGCCACTTTTGAATTCACATAAAATGTAAAAACTATATCTTTCTTTTTTTTGCCCCCAAAAAAAAACAAACAAAAAAACAGAAGAAAAAGGCAATATATTAGAAATAATACTGCAGTTACAATTAATGTATTGATTGTCAAACTTAAATAAAAAGGAAAATCACATTAATTAGGATTCATATCTCATATTTTTTTCATTATGGCTTTACAAGTTACACTGTAACAATCAAATACTGAGGCAACATTGGAATGGAAAGGGGCTTGTGATATGTTCGTGAAATAAATATGCGCCGTTATATATTATTTATGATTGATCTCAGTGGTATATATGAATATCAGTTTATGTTTATTTTTTTTCAATTTGAACAGGATGGTAAAAAAAATCCAGAGAAATTGGTCAAAATCCATGACTCTCAAGACCAACCACTGATATATCAACAACTCCATGTAGGTAAACAGATGAATTAAGCCATACAAATTTACTTCTGACCTTAGTCTGACAGAAAGTTTGTTCTAAAAACTGATTGTTCGAGTGAATGAAATGGATATGTCTTGATACTTGACAGTATTATTGAATGGTATAATTGAAGGTCAAGGTTGAAATTGCTACAAATAATGTTTTACACTGATTAGTTTTAAATTATATAACATGTTGAGGCTGTATACAAACCATAATTTTGAGCTGACTGTTTAGAAGTATATTGTGATTGTGTTCCTCCTGGAAAGAAATGCTAACAAATTGAAGGTCTAGGTCATAGGTCAAAGCCATGGTCAAGGTCACAGTAACTGAAATGTTACCAAATGGTTATTTTATACACAAAACAGAAGAGCCCTAAAGTGCACTTATTTCATAAACGATATAATGACACGCCATGGTCTTAGGATGATGGCTATGGAAGGTCAAGGTCATAGGTTCAAGGTCGTGGTAGCTGAAATGTTACGAAATTGTGTACACACAATAACAGCTGCTGAACTGTCCCATGGATCTTCTTCATATACTTGTATTAATATAGTGATCTCTATCACTAGCTTGAATTAGTGGGGATTTACTGCGAGAAAATGAACAATGATGTACATATTGGTAACGAAATTAATTTGTCAAAGATGATATTGTTTCAGTGATAAAGATATTACTTAATTTGTACTATGAATTTCTTTATTGAGGCCAGTCAGACCACCTTCTTTTTAAAACCATATTTCTGCTCCCATGAGTGGAATTTAAAGATGAATTTTACTACATATTTAGGTACCTGATTATGTTAATCAGATTTGGCTTGTCATCAGTCACATGGTCACACTTAGTTGACCTCTTTGAATTTTTTCCATATAGGTACACTTTAGATATAAAAATTAACTGGATGTTTATTTTCCTTTTAACTTACAGGCACATCTGAAAGAAACTCTAATGCCATCTAAAACAGACTCTTTGAAAAAAAATTAGAGTTCCAATAGCAGATCAGGGAGACTTTTTCCTTGTTAACATCAAGACGATTGATATGTAAAGAAACCAAAACCAGGACAATTTACACCATTGGGAAAAGATTTGACTTTAACCCAATATTAGGAGAAGGATGGGACTACAGATCTTTAACAAAGAGGGTGACAACATGTAGATAATCACCTCCACAGTTAAGTTCTACCTTCATGAAAGAAAACCATTGACTGACTTTGTGGTGTATCCTGACCACTGTGAAGAAAGGGACATTAGTAGAGGTTTTGTTGTTTGTTTCAATTTTGTAGTTAAAAATGGAAATAAGGGAAAATTGATGGATCTCTTAAACAACGCAATCTTTTATGAGAGTGTCAAGGTATGTTGTAAGACAGCAAAAATGGACCCATTACTTTTAATTTTATAGTTGTACTATATTATAGTAGCACTTGTTGGTAAGTTTTAATCATACGATTATGTCATCAGGATTTTTACTACAAAAGGATATTGAAAGCCAGTTTTGACACAAGTTTGACACAAGATACTGAGCCTTGATACTGTAGAACTTTTACAAAAGAATACTCAGTGAAGTTTTCTGTCATTAATAGTGACAGGAATAGATTGCGTTCATTTCTGTTCAAGCTAAAATCAGATGGTTTGTGGAAAAAAAGAAAAGTTGGGAGACAGTTTGAAGCATTTAAGGATCAGTTGAGTCATGAGAAATATACTTGGTTTGTTGAAGTTATACAGGACCAGAGTTATAATCTGGAAAAGGAAAATGAAAATCTCAGAAAAGAAAAAGAGTTGTTGAAACAAGAAATCAAAGAAACTAAAACACATGTAAACCAGGTAGAAAATCCTGGAAGGCATCCTGCAAAAGATTTCAGAAAAAATTAAACTCTGTTACGCA